TTTCCACTCTTAAAATACATTAATTTGTAAATGTTCCATTTACCTTTTTTTACGGCAGCCTTTGCAGCTTAATTTGTGTCCATGTATGACAAAGCAATGGATTCTGGAGTGTCACTGGCCACATAGGTGGTAACAAAACATGAAAGTACAAATCTGTCACCTGACAGCTTGAAGTGACTGATCACCTAAATCAGACACCACTGTCACCACTTGTTCTAGACATGAAACCTTTGATTTATTCCTGTCCCTCTTCCTCACTCACAGCCTGAGTGAGTGGCCTGATCTTGAAAGAGTAAGAGCTTTTTGCTGGTGTGACTTTGATGGCACAAGATGAAAATGAAGTATTTTCAGTTGACTGATAAGGAGGATTGAATTTGCCCAGAAACACCATGCTTTCCATACAGGAACAAACACTGGCATGGAACACAGCTGTTACAGAAGCATTGATGCAAGCAAAATTCACTTGTGAGAATATTTGCACTGGCAGTGAAGAAAAAACTGCAGTGGTATAGCTGAGTGGCTCTGCAGGTTACTCCTTCAGATTGCCCGTGCTTGTCTTCATTCTCCTGTTTTAAAATTGGGTTGTCCAGTTGGAACTGTCCAACTGGGCAACCCTGTTGTGACAAAAAACCTGAGAGCACAGCTATGTGCTTCTGGAATTTAACAGAGAATAAAGGCATCGAATGGGAATTCGCCTCTAAAATCAAGTCCCTGGAATTAAAGATTACACCACAGCAAAGAACTGGAAGTCAAAAGGGGATGGACATTATAAATTGTAAGCTTGGATGGCTCATGCTATCTGATAGAGTCCAAAGCTTTGAGGATGGGTTGAAAATGCCCACAGCTGGATTTGTGAAAAACCTCTGGGCCAAACGCTACTTCTACATATGAGTGACAAAGGCTGCAGTTCCTCTGGAATGAGGCTGGCACAGCTGTGTGGAAAGCAGCACGCTTAGCTCCACAGCCGCGTTTGCTGGGAGCAGGAGTGTTATTCAATCTTAACAGATGACTTTTGGGGGTATGGTGGTGTGTAAGTCTTCCCCTTACAAACTATGGGTAATTCGATGTTCGTAGAGCAGTTTACGTGAACAAGATTTAAAGCATAGTGCAAGTAGGCTGCTGAAATGAATAAGCTTGATATCTGGTAGTGCTCAGCATCTTTCCTGCTGTTCCAGTCAATGTAAATTATGGATGTTCAGATCAAATTACTTTTGAATTAACCAGACCATTTACTCAGTGCTTACTTTCTCTCTGAAGATAAATGAGAGGGATTCTCATTTTAATCAAAACAAAATACAGAAAATAAAATCAATTACTATTTAATGTTTTTTCCATCCCTGTGTGGTGGAAAGTTTCCAGAGGAACTTGGGCTTAAAATTGCAAAGCAATATAAAATGCAGGGACATGGTTGGGTTTTAGCTATTGGATATTTTTATATGCTATCAGAAAACATGGCTGTGTTGTTTTTTTTAAAAAGGCAAAAGAATTATTCTAAACAATTAAACAAGTAAAAGCAGAATACAGTAGATTGCTTCAACCAAAAAATAAAAATCTGTTGATACAGATGTAAACCACCTAGAAGCCAAACATTTAGAAAGATCAGCCAGCCCTATATATAGAACAGTGTGAATGTGCTGAATTCATTAATGAATAGTTTCATGGATTAGGGCTTGATAAATGGAGTGCTCCATCCAGATGTTTACTGTGATTTGTCAATGGTCTGGTACTTAACCCTCCTGGAAATACGAGTCTTTTCTCTAGGATCTCTCCTGGGGACTGTGGCAGTGCCTCTCTCTGGCCTGAATCATCTCAGGACAGGATCAGGCTGCCGAGGAATTAACCAAGTGGCAGAAGCATGGATTTTCCTTTAACCCTTTTGGTTTCCTCTCACCTTCACATGATTTCCTCACCATCTGCCACAACCTTGCCATTATTTAGTCAACACATGGAAAAGGAAAAAAAGGAGTCATCCATGTCACCCCAGGGTCCCTGTAACCACAAAATGTGCCGAGGGACGCACATGGAGTCGCATCAGCACTGAGGAGGAAAAGGGCTGTGGGCAACCTCAAGAGCTTGGTGTGCCCCTCTTCACCGCTCAGCGTGTTTTTATTTTTGTGATGCTACCACTCCCTTTCAGTGACAAGGATGACCCAAGAGGTAGTATTTGTGAGAAGACTGATGTCCTCAAGGTGTCCTTGGTCAGAGTACCAGAGAGTGTAGTGTGTGCAGGAGTGACTTTGGGTGTGGGTAGGTGAATGCAGCCCCTGCAGACCATCCCCATGGCTCATTTCTCACCATGTGGGACCTCTCCATGGGATGGGTCCTTCATCTCGCTGTGGGACACTGAAGGACAGCTCCCAGCAGCCACACCTGCTATGGAATGGCACAGTGGGAGCTGCAGTGAATGCTAGGATGTGGATGTGCAGGACTGTAAAGGACCGATTTTCTGTGTTCAACTTCTGGCTAAATCACAAGTATGTAGACAAATAAATTATTTTCAGGGACTGCCTGGTTAAAACATTAGAAGCACATCTCAACACTATTCTTCCCTAGTCTGCTTGCCATCCTTTCTCTCCAGTACCTTGTCTTTCTGCTGCTCTTCAAGAGCATGTCTTTACACTGAGCTGAAAAAATGAAGGCTATTAAATAAAAATCGCCCTTTAAAATTCCCTGCTTGGAGTAGATATTCCTTCCCCTTTAACATCATCCTCCCACTTTCTCTTGAACCTTTTTTCTGCTCTTCTTTTGTACCCACACATACAGACACCGTAATAGATTCTCGGACCTTTTAAAGCTGCAAAGAAAGTAGCTACAAGTTACTCAAATACTGTACAAGCAGCTGCATTCTTCTGATCTATCAATTAATAAGGTACATTTTCTTCATAAGGTTTTCTGCAAGGCTTTAATCCAAGTGAATTTGGGCAAGTTTTATTTTTCTTTGCACTTCAGCATAATCCCATCTGCCTTCAAATTCAGGATGTGAACACTGCAACTTGATACTTAGAAAAGCTAGAAGCTTGAACTAGAACTTAAATTTGGCATAGTCCCTGCCAGGCATTCCCTTCTATTGATGAAGGAATGAGAGGCAGCAAGTTACTGCTCTTCTGTGCACTTTATTCTGCTCTGAGTGGTGCCCACCGTCACAGATATCTGAGGATGTTTTCTCCTGAAATAATGAATTGTTATTTCCAAGGCAATGTTTGGAGGAAGAATGCCTTTCTGACAGAGCTGGAAAACCAGAATAGTTTTTGAGTATGCAAGGCCTGCTCTACTTGTAATCCCTGATATGCACTGGTAGCAGATCCCTTATTGTGGTGCACAGCTGTATCTGTGGTGTGTCTGTATTTATCATGGGTTTTGCTAGTCTCAGAGGGTGTTATCCTACATTTTGCAGGTTTGATATGTTATCCCATTAAATAGCTGTAAATCAAAGGGCCATTATTTTGAAAGAAGAACTTATCTTCTACATAATTTTGCTTCTTGAAATTACTGGTGTGAGTAAAGCTGTCCTTTATTCACTGGAACAGTGGCAAAACAGGTTGGCAATTCTGTGTTTAGTTCTTGGAGATAAAATGCAAGCCACCACTTACAGAAACCATTTAATACAATTATGGTTTTCTATTTTGGCACTGCTTTTAATATCTTTGGGCAGATTTCATACACAGAGGTAATGTTTTAAATTAGGGGAAAGCCACTAGTCACAGTGAATCTAGGTGAAGTGTTTGATGGAGCTATGAGTAGTAACATAAGGATTTAGGAAAAAATGTCACTGTGATGCCAACTGGAAGGCAAAATCGTCACAATCAATTTTGTTAGAAAACCAGAAACTCCACAAGACTGGAGTGGTGTGTATATACCTATAGGTTCTAATCCTACAGTATTTATATACATATTTAGTGTATTTCCCTGCAGACCTTGAGTAGAATAGATGAGTTCATGGCTTGAATATAGCAAGTAAGATCTTAGCATTGGCTGTATTACTGAACTGTAATTGAAGTCATTGTGTCAAGCTACTCGTTTCTCTCTAATAAAATGTGCATCTACTGAAATGTTTTAGCCTTGGATGTGGGTTTAAGAATGCATCAATGGGAAAGTGTTTGCAAATGTTAACATGAAAATAGCACGGCAGAAATGTCGTTTGCTGGCTTGGGAAGCACCTTTTGAAGCACAGTAATTCAGCGAGAAACTCGAGGGAGCAGAAGCGGGGAGAGCAAACGCAAAGTGGAAAACAAACAAACAACAACAAAAAAATATATATACCCAATCCCTTCCTTTGTTCTTATTCCGCTGGGGAATGGGGAGGTGGGGGACACACACGCCAAGAGGAGCCCGGAATCCCCGAGGCTTTCAGTTCTGATTTTCAATAGAGGTTTGCAGCCAGAAGCGCTCGCTGCGAGCAAATCCACTGGCGGGAGCCGCTCCGTAATCGCCCGGCGCGGCGGGGGCGCGGGCTGCGGAGCGGAGAGCGCTGTGCCCCGCGCCACCGGCCCGGAGGGCAGCCCCAGCCCCCTGCCCGGGCGCACGTACTGCCGGGCCGGCCTCCCGCACCTCCGGAACGGTGTCCCCGCCGCGCATCTCCCGCCCGGGCACCTGTGGGTATCCCCACAGCCGGGCCCCGCTGCCCCAGCACGTCCGCGCCCCGACGCGCAGCCCCTCGGCGGGGCGGAGCGCGGGGGGATGCGGTATCCCAGCTCCCCGGGGGATGCTGCCGCTGCCTGCGTGGGGGCGCGGAGCAGGAGGGATCCTCTTTGACGTCAAGCGACCATAATATAATGATCGCTCGTTCATATCCGGGTCCCCGGGCGACTCCCCCGGGCCGCGCTCGGCCGCGCTCGGCGGCGCAGTGAGGGGAGGCGGGTCAGCAAGGACAGGGCAGGGCAGGGCAGCGCAGCGCGGCCGCCCGCAGGTGGCCGGCGGCGGCAGCGGGGCGGCGAGCGCAGCATGCCCGCCGCCTCAGACGCGCCTGCCTCCCGCCGCCGCCGCCGCTCCGCGCAGCCCCCGCGCCGCCGCCGCGTCCGCCGCCTCGCGCAGCGCGCCCCGCCGCGGACATGGGGCCGTCCGAGGAAGGGGGACACCGCCGGGGCATGGCCATGGCGGCGGCGGGCGACGAGGAGGAGGAGGCGGCGGCCAACCCGGGCGCCATGCACCACCAGCGGGTGCGCCTCCCGCCGCCGCCGCCGCCGCTGCTGCTGCCCATGGAGATCGCGCTGGTGACTTTGGAGAACGGCGGCACCACGGCCATCGCGGGAAGCGACGATCCCGCCGCCGCCGGCGGCCGGGCGCGCTGGCGGGGCCACTTGCTGCACGTCGCCGGCTCGCCCCAGCTGCTGATCAACATCTCGGGGCTGCGCTTCGAGACGCAGCTGGGCACCCTCAACCAGTTCCCCGACACGCTGCTGGGAGACCCCGACAAGCGCATTCGCTACTTCGACCCGCTCCGCAACGAGTACTTCTTCGACCGCAACCGGCCCAGCTTCGACGGCATCCTCTACTTCTACCAGTCCGGGGGCAAGCTCCGCCGGCCCGTCAATGTCTCCATCGACGTCTTCGCCGACGAAATCCGCTTCTACCAGCTGGGTGAGGAGGCCATGGAGCGCTTCCGGGAGGACGAGGGCTTCATCAAAGAGGAGGAGAAGCCCCTGCCCCGCAATGAGTTCCAGCGCCAGGTCTGGCTCATCTTTGAGTACCCCGAGAGCTCCAGCTCAGCCCGGGCCATCGCCATCGTCTCCGTGCTGGTTATCCTCATCTCCATCATCACCTTCTGCCTGGAGACCCTGCCCGAGTTCAGGGACGAGAGGGAGATGCCCGTACCCTTGCCCCCACAAGGTGGAGGTTTGAATGGCACGCCTGGGGACTCCCCACCCATGCAGCCACCCAGTAGCCTGGCTGACCCCTTCTTCATCATCGAGACCACCTGTGTGATTTGGTTCACTTTCGAGCTCCTCGTGCGCTTCTTCGCCTGCCCCAGCAAGCCTGAGTTCTCCCGCAACATCATGAACATCATCGACATCGTGGCCATCATCCCCTACTTCATCACCCTGGGCACCGAGCTGGCCCATGAGCAGCAGCAGCCCGGGGCTGGCAGTAGCAATGGGGGTGGGGGCCAGCAGCAAGCCATGTCCCTGGCCATCCTCAGAGTCATCCGCCTGGTCAGAGTCTTCAGGATCTTCAAGCTCTCCAGGCACTCCAAGGGGTTGCAGATCTTGGGGCAGACTTTGAAAGCCAGCATGAGGGAGCTGGGCCTCCTCATCTTCTTCCTCTTCATTGGGGTGATCCTCTTCTCCAGTGCCGTCTACTTTGCTGAGGCTGATGACCCCGAGTCTCATTTCTCCAGCATCCCTGATGCTTTCTGGTGGGCAGTGGTAACCATGACTACTGTGGGCTATGGGGACATGAGACCTGTCACTGTGGGGGGCAAGATTGTGGGCTCCTTGTGTGCCATCGCGGGTGTGCTCACCATTGCCCTCCCTGTCCCTGTCATCGTGTCCAACTTCAACTACTTCTACCACCGAGAGACTGACCATGAAGAGCAGGCTATCCTCAAAGATGAACACAGTAGTGCTCAGGGCAGCACTGCGGGGGGAGAAGTGAAGAGAAGACCCAGCAAAAACTCTCTGAATAAATCTGTTGTGCACTTGGAAAACAGTGAGGAGTTCAACAATGGCACCAGCTCCTTAGAGAAAGCCAATATCAAAGCAAAAAGTAATGTAGATCTCAGAAAATCCCTCTATGCTTTCTGTCTGGACACCAATAGGGAAACAGACCTGTGAGGAGAGGAGATGGTTAGAGTTCAGAGGGGCAAAAGGATTTTCTGGTGTCAGAAACTTGCTACTATAATTATTCTTTTAGTACCAATTAGTTTTTTAAGTCAGGCTGTATTTTATAAATTGATCACTGTCCTGAGCAATCCTCCAGGAATACATGTTTTTATGTTCTTTTTCCATGACACAAAGGGTCACTTATTTTTAAAATAGACTAAGAATAAGCTACACTCCATGATGCAGGAGCTGGTAAATTATGACAGTGAAAAATCTAATTTGTAGAAACTTATTTTAGCAAGTGGTCATTGGTTTTGAATGGGTAATTTGTAACCAATTCAGTTGCTCCGCGTTTAGTGTAAAGAACTGTGTGTGGAGGGGATGTGTGTGTGGAGAATGAATGGATTGGGGATGGGAGGGGGGAGGTTGAGGGATTTTGTACTGTAGTTTCAAATTGAAATTATTCAAATATATTTTGTATCTGTATGACTGTATTTATGGTTGAAAGGAGATTTCTAATTCCTGTGAAGTATGATATCATTAAAGCACTAGGAACATTAGCAAATCAGCACTTTCTGAGTTTTCCACTTGTAATCAGTACAGATCTGGTTATCTTGTATGTGAAGTGAATTTGGTGCTTTGAACCCTAGAGCAGAAAACTTCTGTTGTCATTGATATGTTAGTTTCTTGTGAGCCTTAAATTATTAAATATTGTAGATATACTTCTTTATAAATAATTTTATTAGTTACCTTCCTGTTTCAGAATTTCCAAGTAATTCAGTCATGTGCTTACTGGCCTCACTCAAAATCAAAAAAGTATGTGCAGCTTTTGTTTTGTTGGTTTTTTTTGGTTTTTTTTGGTTTTTTTTTTTGTTTATTTGGGTTTTTTTTTGTGGTTTTACAGTTTTATATCTTTGTTATATTTTGAGACCTAAAGGAAAAAATACACTGTCTGCTGTTACTGGTTTCAATCCAGTGCACAACAGATCGAAGGTGATCTGAACAGATTTTCAAGTGCACAACAGATCAAAACCATGAGGGAGTGGATAGGCACAATGAGAAAGTAGAGTATTGAGTGCAATACCTGCAGAACTGCTTTCATTGTACACTCCAGATTCCTTGAGCGTGTGTATCAGTCACCTTTATGTATGCACGCACCATTTGTGTACACAGTTCTCTGGTTTTAGTTCTCTCAGACCAGGAGTGGATGGCACTTCAGGAGTCGAACGTGGTGTGCTGTGCTGCTTCAACAACCATCGCATGGCTTTTCTCTTGGACACAGATGGAAAGCACCATCTTTTCATCAAAACACACCCCTGGTTTCTTTTATTTCCAAACAAAACCTTCTCAGCGCTGTGGATTTTGCAGTTGAAGTGTTGTTGAAAGACGAGTGACACACTGCCTTCATCAGGATCACAGCTAACTCTGAAGACTGACACAAAGTTGCTCCTTTAGCTCAAAGAGCTTTCTTACAATTTCTCTTGCAAAGGACATCTCTGTTTCCCCCTCCAACTTCTGTTGTATTGCTGAAAGATGTTCCATTCCTTTCCCACATCCTGTGGCACAGCAAGAGTAGCAGAGAAGGCTTGATTGTCAACATCGCTCAAGGTTTGTTTCTAACAAATTTTCTAATATAAATAAGTGCTAATATAAATAAGTTGGGATTATAATTTACTCAAGTACCTCATCTATATCCTGAGATAAATTGAGATCAGAGCAGCACTGTGACATTCTCTCCCCCAGATACAAATGCTGTTTTCACGTCCCTGACCGTGCTCTTTAATGATAATGCCCAAATGTGTGATGATTTTTTTCTCTCCTAGTCAGTAAAATAACTGCAAAGCAAGTCATACTTTTCATGAACAGAGTGCTCAGCCCAAAATCCAGGGCTGAGGAGGAGTTTGAATGTCATAATAGAGAACAGCATATTTCTCATTAATTTTAGAATTTTAGATGTTGGTTTCTTGGTTGGTTTGCTTGTTTATTTAGATGTGGAATGAGGCTGTAATGTGCTGAGGAGCTGTCTGAAACAAGACTGACGGGAAAAGCACCCAGTGCAGCTGCACTCCAGACTCGGGGAGGTCTCCAGTTTGCCTTGGTGGGAGTTGTTGCACAGGGAAGTGCACAGGGAAGTGCAGAATCAGCTCTTTGGTGAGGCTGAATCTCAGATGAAGCAAAGAAGTGGTGTAACTCTGCTGCACATGCTGAGACCTAGGTCACTGATGGACTTAGAGTAAGGCTTTTTGCTCAGACAAGTGCTTTGCTTTGCTCTCGGTGATCACATCCATCTGACTCGCCTGAATAAGCACCAAACAACTGCAGTGACTCTTTCAGGATAAAGTTTTGGAGTGGTCTTTCTGGAACTACTACCCTCACCTGCCTGACCACCAAACTGTGTGTTCCAACTGTGTGTTGTGTTGGGCTGTCAGCTCCTCGGGGCAGGGGCACTGTGTCCACACAGCCACTTGTTTGGAATCCTGTGTAAGGATTTTAGGGATCTGGATTACATCTCTGTAGTAAGTGCAGCAAGCTGATAAAGGTGAAAGTAGATCCAGGGCTATGGGGCATGCGTCAAGCTGATCTTGGTGACACAAAGGGAAGACCTTCCTCCCTTCTTTTTTACTTTTCTTCTTCCCACCGTGTGTCTTTTTGTTGCTTTCACTGAACTGGTTCTCTCCTCATGGAAGTACAAGTTCAAGTGCTGCCTTCTCTTCCTGAGCTCACTCATCTGACAGGAAATTAAATTCAGCCTTCTGTTTGAATATGCTGTGTTTTTCCATAACAAAACAAGAGAACTTTCCAATAGAAAGAAAACAAATAATTTTCACAGTATGATTAAAAATATTTGCTTGGCTTGGGTTTCTAAGCACTTGCTAAGCACAGTTCAGGCAAATTCAGTACTGACACCTTAAATACATAATTTCTATTGGCTTATAGGGCAGTAAAGGATTTGCTTTCTAATGACAGGTACTGCTGCCAATCACTAATGTGACCAGGAACATGGTCAGAGCCCAGTTCAACAGAGCATTTAGCACAGACACATGCTTAAACCAACACAATTTTCAGCAGGTGTTTTAGATGCACTGATTTTTATGATTTTGAGGTTTGAGATCATGAGTTGAACTTGGATGTTCCTTGTGGGTCCCTTCCAGCTCCAGGTATTCTTTGATTTTCTGATGGTTATTTAAAGATAAGTTATAAACAGGGCTGAAACCTTGGAGCCATGGGTTCCAAATGGATTTTGGGGTAAATATGTGGGTACATGGTACAGTCACATAATGTGCTGATGCAGATTTGTGCTGCAGAAGAGTGTGAGAGTAAGAGAACTGAATCCCTCCAAGAAGGCTCCTGGAAATGTGAGACAGGAAGAGAGTTTTCTCTTCCTGGCCCATCACAAGACGGAAATATACCCTAACCACTATTGATTTTATGTTAGCTGACCTGCAATGAAGAGCAGGCTGAATCAGGCATTTTTGCCATATCAAAAGCATCTATACCAGAACTTAATAGCAAATCATTGCAGACATCAAAACCCCAAACAAACCCAGCCAAACAACAAACCAACAGTTTCTGGTAAACTCTTTCGGCTAGGAGCTGCAACCGAGAAGCTCCCTCACCCCACACATGCTGTAATTATTAATGGCTTGTCCTCTCACGTGGGACACTGCACTAAAATGCATTCTTGGGGGTGCTGAAGTGAATGTTCATTTGGGTCACCAATAATGTAAGTTTAATTTGCTTAGCCTGGCCCCAAGGGGAGTCCCCATTTCCCTTTTACTTTTCCATCATCCTAAAAAACCATAAAACAGTACCAAGCAGTTATATAACACCATTCATCTCCCAGAGCTCTATGAACAATTGCACCACGCACTATATACAGGCAGGGTAAAGAAAAGGCTGTGGAAGGGAAGACAAGCCTTTCAAAGGGGGACAGGGCTCAGAGAGGCACAAATAGGAGTGGGTTTGGCTGGACTGAGAGGTCTAAAATGTGTATCTCAGGGAAGAGAGATTCCCCCCATGGTCTCTTGCATGACTCTGGGTGGCTCTGCAGGCAAGGACTGGATGCCAGCAGCTGTGCGCCATGGTCCATCTGGTGGGGTCACTGAACACAGAGGGGACTTAATGGTGCTCTGAGCAGCACAAACAAATCCCTCTTTTGTGTGCTCTTTTCATTTGGGCTCTGTAAGGAGAACGTGGCAGTCCTTCTGGCTGTTCCCTGGCCTCTCCAGCTGCAGACACTGCTGATTTGTGGAGGTGGTGCTGAAACATTCTCCAGGCACTGCCCTTCACCTCCCATTAGGAAGCAAAGGTTAGGGTTAGGGTTAGGTTACATTCAGAACACTCTCTGGGGGATACGTGTGTGTGCACAAAAAGTCTGGCTCTTCTGAAGCCTACCCCAGAATCACTGAGGTTGGAAAAGACCTCAAAGGTCAGTAAGTCTGACCTGTGACAGATCACCACTTTGTCAACTGAACCAGAGCACTGAGTGCCACGTCCAGTTGGTTCTTGAACACCTTTGAGGATGGTGACTCCACCACCTCCCTGGGCAGCTCATTCCAATGCCTGACAACCTTTTCTGTGAAGAAATTAATCTTCCTGATCAGTGTTAGTGAAGCTGGTGCTGAGGTCAAATCGGGAGAGCGTTTAGTGGCATGTGACAGTGCCACTGAGCTGTGGTGAGGGACGAGCTGCCTAGCTGACATCTGATCCAGTCATTCAGCAAGATGCCATGAACAGGAGTGGAATTTGGCAGGAGCCTCAGGGTGGTTGCTGCCATATTTAGGGAATAACGGAAGGAGGGCTTTAAGCACCTCATCAAGGCTTTGGCCTTCCCACTTGGCCAGCAGGATTGGACTGTTGTGTGGCAGGCAGGGTGTGGGGGAAGCCACAGGAATAATGAAGCTGATCCCCTGCAAGACAGAGGGTCAGCAGGGAAATGGGGAGATGAAGCTCTAACAGCATCTGCCTGCCTTTGGTTCAGCTTTAGCTGTGTCACTGTGTGACCACCAGACTCACTCCACAGCTACAAATGTCCAAAAAATGAAATAGAAAAGGTGTTTATAATAATCTAGCCTGTGACCAATTAAAATCATTGTTCCAAAATCATTCTGCCATGACATTTGCTATATACAGCACCACTAAATATTTTTTTAGATTGTGCCATTTAGTCTTTTCACAGGTTCCGTAATGTTTGGTTTTTGGTTGCTTTGTTTGTAGTTTGTTTCTTTTGTTTTTAGGGTTTTTTTTTTACTTTCTTTCTGTATGCATTAACTGGTCCCCAGTTCTTCTGATCAGCTTGCTAAAGTTCTGTTTCTCTAGCCTAAATTTGGGACCTCAGTGTGCTGACACTCTACAGTGGAACTGAGTCATGCCACCTGATGTCAGTGTGTCAGCTCATTACATGGAATTTCTCCAGTAACTCTGTGGGCCCATTGACCAGAACATACCTAATATTTATATGATTAAATATTGTGAAAAATGTGGTTATAGCAGCCATTGAAATAATATGAAATAAAAAATTTTCTGTTAATTGGAATAGGAAAAAAATGATATGACTAAGGAATTAATTGGAATTAGAAGTTTTGAAGAGAAATACCAACTTGTTTAAAGAAAAAGAAGGCTTCAAACTGACAGGAAGTAGGTTTAGACTGGATATTAGGCAGAATTTTTTCCCTGTGAGGGTGGTGAGGCCCTGGCACAGGTTGCCCAGAAAAGTTGTGCATGCCCCAGAAATTACCTGATGGAATAGTAAAATGACTATCCTTCCTAGATGGCAACAAAGTGTTTTCATTAGAGCTTGTGCTTCCTAGCACACAGTCTTTATGGTTACTGCAGAATTAATAATTTTCCAGATAGAATTTAGAATTTACCAAAAGTCATCTGCAAGTTGTCTTCTGTATAAATAATTCACAGTCATCAGGGGGATGAAATCAGTTTTAACACTTGATTGACAAGAAGAAGAGAAAAAAAATAGATATATCTTATTTCTGTGCTTTAACTGTGGTGTGTCATGGAGATTGTCATTTGCAGTATTCTGGAAAACAGCTGTGATTGTCTTAAAATTGACATTGGAAAGAATGTTGCTGGAGAATCACCTTGGATGAAATCATACAGGTAATAATTTCCCTCTCAAGAGAGTGATTACTCTGACCTTCTCCAGTTTTCTGACAAAGCCAGGTTGGACATAAATGTTGAAATATAAGGTCTCTTCTCTCAAATCCCATGTCCAACCCTGGCCAAGAATGGTGGTTTCCTCACTCCTGTGGGCAATGGAACCTTGCAGCTCTTCTCATGACAGTACAGCTGCATAATAAATACTCATGTCAGGGTTGATGTTTCCATGAAGATGCTGGAGGAAAATACGGGATTTAAATGGACTACATTGGTCTAAGGGTCTGGTGTGTAGAAGGAGTAGGTAGAATTTCTTCCTTTGCATGAGTTTTGACTGGAGTGAGAACTCCAGTGGTGGTGTCCTGGCATGCAGTACTTCCCCTACAAAATATCACAAAATCCGTACCAGGGCTTGATCTCCCTCTCCCTCCTCCCTGCTTAAATATAGGTAGAAATGCCTGTGATTGGAAAGGTGAAAAATTATTGGAATTATTTAA